TGTGTGTGTGTGTGTGTGTGTGTGTGTGTGTGTGTGTATGCGTGTTTGCGTGCGCGTGCGCGTAAAAGAGGCGTTATTCCCAAGAGTCTGCAACCTAATCAAGAAATTAACTGAATGTGCAGCAGTGTGATTTTCCCTACTATCACTGACATGCCGTGTTTCTTTGTCTTTATTTATTTATTTATATATATTTATTTGTTTATTTTTTAAATGTGGTTTTATGCCCCTTTTGTTTTGGGGTGGACCTCCGAATAAATGATTTGGCTCCGGTGTGCAAAGCTAATAACATTTTATGGGAGTCTGAGGTCCCACAGACAAAAGAAGTGCTGCACACCCTAGTTTGATTTGATCTAATTATCGCTGTACACCACACAAAAGAAATTTGCGAGCAGAAGGAGAATGAGTCCAAAGGTGGGATGTTCAGCGTTGTTCATTTGTTCAAGTGCATCACGGAGAGTCCATACCCAGGTAAATCTGTTTTTTTCTAAGCTACTCTGTTTGATCCAGATGAGCGCTATGCATGTGCGATATGGGCGTGTATAGCATCGAGTGTATTGATAGAGGTTATGAAGCTGCATATGATCTCTGTACAAAATGGATCCGGATGTGGCCACAGTTGCTCATTGTTGTCTTTCTCTTGCTCCGGTAGCTGATTTATCCGCGGAAAATACGACGGGAAGCTGGTTAAAAGCCAAAAGTGGAAGGAAGAAACGGTGTCCCTACACAAAGCACCAGACGCTGGAGCTGGAGAAGGAGTTCTTGTTCAACATGTATCTGTCTCGGGAGCGCCGCCTGGAGATCAGTCGGAGTATCAACCTGACTGACAGACAGGTCAAGATCTGGTTCCAAAACAGACGCATGAAGCTCAAGAAGTTCAACAGGGAGAGCCGAGGAAGGGAGCACAGTGCAGTATATAACTATTCCTGAAGATATCTCTATACGTTCACATTCACACATGCACTCATACACATGCACATACACGCACTCACACATATGCATGGACATAACAGATAGACAGACATGCACGTGTCATCTTTTAATGCATTGAATTATCATTTATCAAATTTGTCTTTGTGCACGCCACACAGATTCACATACACACACGTCGTGCCTTCCGTAATGAACTATAAAACGCTGCTACCTGCAGACTTTGGTTCGAGGTGAACACTTGCAGGAGCATTGGGACGTTGAGATATTACCTTGAACTGATAATTATAATCCAACATGAAGCAAACGAAAGGAGGAGGCAATATAAAGCGGTCTATAAATAACTCGTGGCATTTAGTTTCACTTTGCTGAGCTGGAGTGGATGTTTAGCCCCTTTTGCAGCTTTTTCGCTGGTGTCTGTTGCTGTGGCATATTCGTACAGTATAATGTGCATGCACATGACAATATTAAGCCATGCAATCGCAAACGATTCCTAAACAGTAAAAGGAGGGGTAAATGGAAAGGTATTACCAACTTTGTCCTTCCTCTGGCATAGTGGTGCAAATGAGAGGGAGGGAGAGACACTGCAGATGAGAGAAGTAGATCATGGCAGTTTTAATAGAAGTGAGAGACCATAACGTTGATTTAAATATTATCCAGGTGACCACAGTAAGTCAAGGTCATAAAATTCTAATGTCAGGTTCGCCCTGGAAAGCGTTGGGGGTGGATTTTATGATCTGCAAATATAATGTGCTGCAGCAGTAAAGATGCGTTTAAAGGTGTGTGTGGAGGAGGGCTAATCCATAGCAGAGACTGCAATGTGCAGGATCCGGCCGAGGCGCTGGGCTGGAAGGAGCAGCCGCCTCCGCCCGGGATAATGGAGCTTCATGGGAGTAGGAGATAAGAAAGATGGTGGATAAAAGGGACAGCGGCCGCGACGGCTGCAGGAACAATAATAACAACAGGCATCACCGCAAACACGTGGATAACTGAACGCACCGGGAAGGCGACTGCAGGAGGCAAGTGAAGGTAGGACTCAAATGTTACGTAATATTTTTATTTCCTGTTTTGGAGAGTATGCAACATCTGTCAGGGGGAGCTTGCTTGACAGCTCTTGTGGCACGCATTGTGCACGTCTGCACACGTCGACAGTTTATATGTTGTGGATCAGTCAGCGTTTCTCAGATTTCTGTTTGCTTTGTCACTGTAATCAAAATGCTGTTTGATGATTATTTTTCATTTTGTTTCTAGTTAATCACTTTTTTCTGAAGTTTTGCTTCTTTGGAACGGATGCATAAATTGCTGTGCTGCTCCTACAACGCTATTTATGGAATTAGAACAATATCACTTTAAGGCGGACACATTTTTTCATGAGCAAACAAGTAAAGTCATGGGCATCTGGCTATATAAGTTGTTTACAGGCAGTTATTAGAAAGTAGCTTGATTTCAGCCCTACACCATGTTGTGTTTTATTGTGTTGGTACTCGCCTTTTTCTCTTTGTGCTGAATAGTATTAATCCTCTCTTGGCTTTTGCATGCATTGTCCTTTCCATGGATTTTAACCCCTTTTGCGCGAAGCTGAAGCGTGGTTTAGGTAGTTTCATGTTGTTGGGGTTGGCTTCCTGGCTCGGCAACAAGAAACTGTCTTGATTACGTCAGTTCGTCTTCATCAAGGGCACAATTTCCGCTGAATTACCCCCAATAGTCACCCAGGTCGCCGCAAATGGCATTGTAAATGAACTGAGCTGCAATACCTTGGACAGAGACGTTTTCTTTCTTTGCTGTTATTTTGTGGTGGGCTGTAAAACCTTCTGAGGCTCTCAGGAGGAGAATGGGTTATAAACAACGTGGGGTAAAGTTGTAGACTGCGTTATACTGCATCTGTCATCACTGACTGTCTGCTTAGGTTTAGTGGTTTCAGCTGCTTTATGATCATCTAAATCCAGACGGATGGATAGATGCAAGTAGATAGATAGACATATTTGACTCATTCATATATCTGACTAATGAAGCTGGGTCTATGACAGGGAATGGATGCGTATTGACATTTGATATGAGGATACTAAGTCTTGCTCTTGTAAATGCTGACACATGGCTTCTTGAAATTCTTCAAATTATTCCGTGCAATCACAATCTCCAATTTGCTTCAACGTTTTATACTGAGCGTTGGCCTAACATTAAAATATACATATGGTCTAGTATAATTCTTACCTTGGAAGTAAATGTTTTCCACAAACTTGAACACACATAAGAAAACTGACAATGATAACAGCAGTCACCCCATTAGAAGTCACGTTTTGTTAACTGAAGTTAAGTGAAATTCCTGCTAACATTATTTTTGTGCATTAAATAACGTCACTTGTCCATTTCATACTTTACCTGCTCTTATTGTTGTTTTATAGTTTACAGTTTGGAGAAGCTAAGCTTCAATAGCACCTAATTATTTGACTTATTGCTGTTACATATAACATGATTAGTTTGTAACGATATCCCGCCAGTGAGCCACTAACCATCACAAGGATACGTCTAACTTTATTGATGTGTTGACTAATACCAGTAATCAATTTAATCATTGATTTATAAGTGCGAATAATATAGGGCCTTTCAGGAAAATAGGTATTCAAGAAAGAAATGATCCAAGAGAAACACAATAACTTATTTATGGAAGGGTCAGCATCTTGTCCGTAAGCCAGTCCAGTGTTTATCAGGTCACTATTTCCCCTTGTTTTCTCAGCCCCCCCCCCCTCTTTGGCGGTGGTGCAACTGGAAGAGACAGTCTGGAATCCAAAGTCATTTTCATTCAGCTCAGTGAATGAGCGTCTCCCTTGGAATGCATCACTGACAAAGACTTTACAGCGCTGGAAACAGCCCCGAGAGCTGCACAGATTCACCCTAAAACCATATACACATAAAGCAATTTATTTCACTTTGTAGTGGCGCACAGGAACTGAAGGCTTTAGTCAGCCACTTCCTTAGGACAGCTCAAGATGTGTTACTGGCACTGGCATGATCAGACAAGAACCAAATATGCTAAAGTATTTCCCTTCTCTTTTTTTGTTCCTTCATGACGTATATTTTTAAGTTTTTCTTGTGAGGTATATACGAAAATGTGTCCTCGCTTTATTGATAACGCGTTATAAAGTTATTTGAAGATTAAATTCAGAAGACGATGGACTTCCTTTACTGGAACATTTTCAGCTGTTTTATTATTTTGAATATTGTTCATGATATAAAACTCACTTTTTAATTATTATTAATTGGGAACATTTTGTATCCGCATTGCGTGGTTTGAATGAACTCAGTTGTATATGCAGAAACAACATTTAGGCTACAAAAATATCACAACGGTGTTTTTCTTTCTTTCTTTGAAATCATGGGATCATGATCATTATTCCATATTAATTACTTCGCATTTTTAACCAAGAAATATTTTACAGGACGAGAATACAAAATGTGGTCTATCTGTGTTGAGTGCACCGGGCCAAATCAATATATATTGATCTGCAAAATGTCACAGAACATGCATGTCTGTTGAAAACGGATGGATTTTATCACGAATTTTGATTTAAGACTGTTTATGGGACACTCATAAAGAATATTTTATAATAAATAGGCGTGTTTGAATGAAACCATGCAGCAGTTATCTATTGTCCGTCTGTCCACTGCACAGTGTAGGTAATGCGGATCATTTTGTGGCTTTTCTGATCACACAGTAACTTTTCGCTGTGCAGTAGGCTGCCTTCTGTTCTGCGCATGGGTCGTTATGAATATAATATAACATGCCCTTTGAAATTTTCATATGCTGACTAAGCGCGTATAATATGGTCCAAATGTTTTCTAGATCAACCATTTATGAGGGCGGAAAAGCTTGTTTGTTTATGGGCAAAGGTACTCTTCTTGTGTGCTGTGATGTTTTCTGGGAGGAAAATTTATTTAGTATATTTTCATGATTGACAAAACATAATGTGCCTTCACCCTTTAATCCCACAGCGCATGTGATCGTACGTGTCTGATAAAAGACAGCAGTGTTTCAACGCCTTGAATCGTTCGTCTGTGAGTCATCCACCCAGAAATGACACAAACTGGTTGTGGTGATTGAAGTGAAAACATTGGCTATGAAGATGGATCATCTTCAAATAACATGCAAAGGAAGTTATTTGATAATGATAATTAGCCTGTTTGGCTACATACTTCTATCTGTTTGATGATTTGAATAAAACAAACAAAGAGTAATCTGCAGCCTGTCATCATCTGCCAGTCAGGTGTGGCCTTGTTATTGAACTGGTGGACAGATTCGTGATCTTAATTGAAGCTTCCCTGTTCAATATGATAGTTATCATTTTCTCTGCATTTTAACCATAGAACTACATTAAGGCGAAGCAAACCCTTAACTAAAGTGATCTGTTGGTATGGAATTAAAGGCGTAGGTCCTTAAACACTTGCTTTTCGACTATGTCAAATGAATATGAAGCCTCACTGCACTGCGGCGGCGTGATGTACAGACTGTCTTATCACTGTAATGTCTTTGTCTGTTAGCGTCCACTTGAAGTATTGCGGCTCAAAGCTGTGTATAAATAACGTAAATCTAAAACAGAAACATTGTCCTCCTCAGTAAAGCTGTGACCATGCGAACATTAGCCCGAAAGGCCTATCGTCTGAGTTTTCTTATGCATGTTTTAGATTTTAATGAATGGAAAACTGAACCGTGTGACTGAGAAATGTCAGAGTCGGGTTTATACTGTGGTGGGAAGCCTTCAAGCATTGTTAGCATCATTAAGTTGTTAAAAATCATTTGCAAGAGATTTAGGACTAATCGAGTACATCCCTTTTAGATGGAAACACAAAGTATATGCTCCATAACCTCGTCGTGTGTTGTACATCTGTAAAGCCTTCAGAGGCAAATTTGTGATTTTGGACTACCCTGAATAAAATGGACTTGACGAACATAGAGCCCATTTAATAAGAGCACACCATCAATTGTATCTTTCTAATCGTGTGTTACTGATCAATGTATCATATTTATTTTCATTTATGGTGATACGGGATCATCAAAACGAAATTGACAAACCACAACTTCTTGTTTTTGTTTACCATAGTAGGCTTTGTTTTCAAAACGTTAAGAAATATGTGAAAAGTTTTTAAATATGAAAAGGCTTGGCGATGCAACAAGGATGCATTTGTTAGACGGTATGATCTTAGTCTTGAATGGTCTATTTGCAACTCCACTTGTGCTCAGGAAGGACAACGGGAAAGACAAAAATGCCTGAAATAAGAAACAACAACAAATGAATATTTAATGCTGCAATCATTTTTATTATAGCACAACAAACATGGATTAGATACCTTGTTTAAAAAAATCTTCACTTGTCATTAATGGACCCACACTCATAGCACAGACAGTACACACGCAGACACGTACACACAAACAAGCGCACCCAATACAATACAATACAAGGGATTATTCATTGGATTACTCTGGACAGAGATACCAGCTATAATGTATTTATATGACCATACGTTACGGTAATAAATGGCAACCAAGCACTTTTTAATTCTGCTTTAATGGCAGCAGAAGAATATGTGGAATTAGACCTTCAACCTGCTGACAAATTAAATTTAAGATACGGTCATTTTACTAAACGGCTGTATTTCTGTATACATGTGGGGAAATGTTTGACTCGCCACAGACTTGTGCATTCATCAGCACTCACCAGGACGCCGTTTGGCGTTATCCGGGTTAAGGTCTGGCGTCTGGCCTTTCAAATTTCATGGTTGAATCTGAACTCAGCGGCCATGACAAACATCGCACTTCCCAAGGCGTACTGATTACAGTTATGCGCCATGGAGTCTAAATATTGAGTATTATATCAGTACATTTCAAAGCGTACTAATTTATTTTAGTCTAGACTAATAAGTGACGTCATTGGATCCTTGTAGCTTGACGATGACAACGCGAAGACTTGTTTTAAAATCCGACATTCATTTCTATTTTCCTATGCACTGCAGACGACGTTATCAGTCATAAGTTAGCATTTATTTTAAAATGTGGCCTCTGATTTAGTCATCTGGTTAAACATTTGTTATGGAACACAGTCCTACCAGTTCAGTTAATTCCAGCAGATTAAAGTGCGGTTTGTTCGGCAGCACTAATTCCACTTTTGTAGGTCTAAACATCCTTATATTTAGCTCCCTCATGTTAAAGTTTGCAATAGTTCAATTCACTTTTGAAAAAAAAGTTAATTCAAAACAGAAATTACGCACATCCTCATACATGTCGCTAAATAAATAGCCCACAGCACATCAAAAACATGCATGCATCCACATATTAAAAGTCCTTACAATTACACGCATCACCTTTTTCTCAAAAATGTACAAATGCACTCCTGCACCAAAGTCACCACGTGACAAATGGTGCAGCTTTAAAGATTTACTAATGCATCAGCCATGTTGTTATCGGCCGTATCCAGTCTGCACATGTGCATTCAAGTTTCAGTAATTATGTCATATTATTGTCATATAGTCTAATTTGTGTTGACTTCTTCAGTTACATGCTTCTTCATATTAGTATGTATTATTTGCTGTGTCGCTGCAACAATGTAGATGAGTTCAGACTTGTTTCACAGCCTGCTAACTGACAAATATATCTCATGGCAAACGGTAAACTTCTGCCATGAGATGCAACAGTAACATTATCCCTGTAATGAAATCTTTCATTTGGTTAGCCCTTTACCGAACCTTTTCTGCCCTCTGCAGTCTTCTCTTTCTTGGCTTCAGCCTTTTATGTAGGAATTGTTGCACATGCATAAAGTGGTGGTGGTTTTATGTTGAGCGAGGACCTCGGATGCAGTCTTATTAACGACACGTTTATGAACAATCAAATGGTCCTCGTTAAAATTTATAGATGGGCATAAAAACATGGACGGTCACTAGCCGAATATAACCCGCTGTAGTATAACCCTCCTCTCTTATCTCCGTAAATGCTATAGGATATGGTTGGTCTGTTGCGCCCTCGTTAAAACGGTGCAAACTTAATTGTTGATGTATTTTGAGTCCCTCTCTCGTCTGTCTAGTCTAGCTACTGTAATGGCTTATCTGTCTATCAACAAATAAACAGAAATCTCCAGAACGTTATAAACCCTTCACTTCAAACGTGCTGCTGCTGCTTTGATAAAGATAAAAGATGTCAAAAATTCAATAAACACTTTAATGCTGCAATACTACCCTTTGCAATAACACGGGGCTACGGATTTCGCCAGACAGAGATTAATTACACCATCAAATAGTGCCCTGCTCGGTTTTAGCTGTAATGTGCGCAGGTCTGTACTGCGTCTACAGAAAGATCCACAAGACACGTTTTCTGTATGAAGAAACATATTTGATGAAGTTACCTCTAATGCGTCCCAGAGAAAGATCAAAAGAGCACATTCTTTAATCCGATTTATGTGCATTGAGATCCCAGGATAAGTGGCGCATTGATCCACTGTACAATTTTTGTGGGGGTAAATATAATCACGTGTCCGTGAGTCAGCCAATAGCAGCCAGGGAAGCGTCGAGAAATAATTACCTGCCTTGATTGTTCTATGGCTCGACAAAAAAGTACACATACACTCCATATAATAATCGGATGCATGTAAAAGAGTCAGGGAGGCTTCGACATGTCGACCACGGGTCCCATAAGTAATTATTATGTGGACTCTTTGATCAACCATGAAAACGAAGATGTCCTTGCTGCAGCTCGGTTTTCGGCTCCCGGTTCGCACCCAGCCGGCCCTCGTCCGACATCCCTTGTACCGGAGTGTGCTGACTATCCTTCCTGCAGCTTCGCACCCAAGCCACCCGTCTTCTCCACATCCTGGACCCCTGTACACTCCCAGTCATCAGTGGTTTACCATCCATACAGTCACCAACCTCACTTAAGCACAGACTCGAGGTATGTGCGGTCATGGCTGGAGCCGATATCAGGCGCCGTGCCTTTCCATGGCTATCCGGGGAACAGCAGGCACTATGGGCTGAAGCCCGACGCCTTTCAGGAGCACAGAGCCGCCGAGTGCCTTGGCTCCAGCGGACGGACCTACACGGATTATCTGTACTGCTCATCCACTGACATGCGAGACAAGACGCCGCAGAATATCCCCTCTCCCGAGTCGGAGCTCCTGGCTACAGGGAAACATAAAGACGAGAAGCCGGAGCTAGATCCGAGTAAGTTCAAGCTCCTGCAGTCTTTTACAACCGAGTGGGAGTTTTCTTTGGGGACTGTGTACAACTACTTTTGCTTAAAGGCATTTTAACGTCCAGTATAAAGGGAAATTATAAGCCGTTTCATCTTCCCATTTCTGCTCAGCCCAGAATCGCCTCTGCTAAGGGGAAAGCTTTAGGAACTATAAAAGACAAACGCTACTAGGCTAATATTGGGGCTATAAAACCAGACGGGGTTGTAAACATGGACTCAAAACTGCAGGAAGACGTTGAATTTGGAAGTCTGTTGCATCATGTTAAAACATGCAATGAGCATTTATTAAAGCAAATAACTTTAACCGATTTATGAAATAATCCTATTCATCAGTAAATGCTTTATGGTGCATTTTTACGACCATATTTTGACCCCGTGCCATTACACACGGCTCATGCAGCCATATAAACCGACTTTTAGTCCTGTTTTTCTTTTTTCTTATGTAGGCCTGTCTGATGTGGAAAAGCCACATTTAGGCTCTATTTGATCCCTAAGTTTTCATTCACACACAAAATTGAGATACATGTAGTTACATATGAAAAGTTGCTCTCCTCTCTGGGTCCAAAACAAATTCACATGACTCTTCGAGACAACTTGGGGAATGTAGGGACATACTGGAGGACTTTCACCACGGACCTGTAAAGGCTTGAACCACGGGCCATTTTATGGGCCAATAAAGTGAATAAGCGCATTGAGTATTTTACGACGGTGTTACTCACAAGTCAAGGGGACAAGGAAGCAAATCAGTGTAGGGTTGGATAGTCTGAGGCTGAGGCTCTTTCCTCAAAATGTTTACTTCCAGTTTAGCTTGAACACCAAACTTGTTTATGCTTTGAACCTCCATTTAAATTGTAACACCTTGTGATAGAATAGCTGTAAATCCAGAGGCACGTTTTCTAAATGCTTAACGCTAATGTGGTAGTCATTAGCCATTATTTCAGTTTTTAAAAATGTGTTGCCCCTATATGTTATGTCTTTATTATTATTATGCTTTTTACTTGCAGATAACCCTGTGGCAAATTGGATACACGCTCGCTCCACGAGGAAGAAGCGATGTCCGTACACAAAGTACCAGACTCTCGAATTGGAAAAGGAGTTTTTGTTCAATATGTACCTTACTAGAGACCGCCGATTCGAGGTCGCGAGGGTCCTGAATCTGACCGAAAGGCAAGTCAAAATCTGGTTTCAGAACCGGCGAATGAAGATGAAGAAAATGAACAAAGAAAGGAACGACAGAAAAGAACAATAAAGTGGACTGCTGTCACACAACAACCATAATATCCACTAGTCAAATGGACAGCACAGATGTACCAAAACACACGATGATCTCCCTCTCCTCTTCATATTTGTCACCTTGATGGATTTTGTATTAACCTTAACTTCGAGCCAGTTTGATGCTGATTGTTACTTTCCAGTGCACATTTAAGTGTCCGCCATGTAAGAAAAAAAGAGACAATTACATTCTGCTTTCACTTCGAAATACCTTGATGTTTTTTTGTAAGAAAAATGATACAAGTGCAGTTTGGACACGTTTAAGACTGTCTGAAGAAAGAGAATACTTGAATTCTTTCGAATTTAACAAACCCATAATTTATGATGTGAATGTTTTCTTTCATGTTCATTCCTTTTGTATACGTTGTCGTGCAGGTGTAGTATTTTGTACAGAAACAGAACATCTGCTATCGGACTTGTCTGTCTTGTATTTTTGTGATAGTTGTTGCTGTATTTGTGCACCTCTTTTTTCGATTGTAACCTACGAGTTTAATTATAGACTGTAGATATAGACCTCTGCAAATATAAACGTAATCACTAAGTGCTTGTATGCTGTATTCATTGTGGATCTCATATTGGCGTCCAAACGCATATTGGCACACGTGGCTGCATGAGGGCCTAATAAACGGGATCTACTTCAATAATATCCTAAAGTTAACGGATTTAAACACTGCAGGAAAGTGGAGTTACCAAATCATCATTGGTTATGTTGCAAACAGATGGAAGTTAGCTAAGCAATTATGCCTCCTTATTAAGTACTAATAGTAATAATTGACTAACATTCCTTCAATACAGCTAAGGCCTAAATGAGCTTTGCCACCGCAAATAATGGCGAGGTCGAAAACCTAACGTTGGCAGCACAGCTAGCAAGACAACATTGTTTTAATTTAGCAATGCATTGCTTTAAATCAGGGGTTAAATTAGCTTTCTTTTAAACCTCAGCCACGTACATTTACAGTTGTACATATGATGTGCACACTCACCAAAATACTCACACAAACGCCCGTATTTTAAAGCGGGAAAAAAGAACAGTATGCACCGTTTTTTTTGCAAATAATTCCTTCAGCTCTGTTGTTTACGGTTTTACTAATATGGGTGGTCTGCAGCAATATAGTTCACTTATGTAGTTCACTTATATTGTACCCAATACATTCTTATAACAGTAAAAAATGAGGTGGTATTTGTTTTATCGCTCCATGGTCTATATGTTTTGAAAGAACCCAAGATGTGTGCAGTTGTCACAATTCCGAGAACGTATTCGTTTCTAAATATTAACCACTGCTGTGAGCTATTTTTCTGAATGAATTAACTTCTAAACCATTTTATAGATTGGTAGTCTTCCTACGCTCGCCAAGCAGGCGATCAGAGAATCTGAGACTAAATTTAAACATTTGAGTGTGAAGGTGAGAAACGATTTCCCAAGTCTCGCATTTGTTTCTTGGGAGAGGCCTAAATTGCCTTTTTGTGGTGGCAAACAATACGGACAGGATGCTGTAATTTCAAAGCCTAATCCAGTGCATTTCCGCCCAGCTCGGACAAAAATGCCATTTTTACAGCCCCTGTTGGAGCTCGGCTGTTTGTCTCAAATGCAGACGAACAAAGCAAACTCGACTAACTGGCTAGACGTCTGGGCTAAATTACTTTATGGTTTTAATGGACGGTGGTGGTGGACTCCTTCAAAGGAGAGTCTTGTGCACCGTTCAGGGGACTTTTCCTGATGGGCCAGCCTCAACCCCCCTGCACTTCATCACATGAGTGGTCTATTAGCCTACATTTAGATGGGAAAACGTCAATAGTTATTGTGCATGAATATGAGTGCTGCGGAGCACTGTTATCTCTTAGAGAGCAGGTAGCGGCCATGACAGGAAACAGATACAGTACCACAACAATGCCAAGCCTGCTGTAAAACAGAGGAGACTGGAGACATGTACAGGTGTGTCGGTAAACGGCTTCTTTCCCCTCTGCTTTATTTAAGGAAAAAAGACGTGATACATACAAGGTTTGGACAAATGGGGAGACCCTTTCCGTTTACATCACAGTTGTTTTTTATTGGTGGATTCTTTCAGGTTTAGGGACACATGTGAACACTAGATGACGCTGTTGGTCCATGTTTTGAGCAGAGTCTGTGTGTTGAAGGGCTTCTTTTCAGCTCTGTGGCTTGGCTGAAAATGAAGAGGAACCTATCGATGACAAAATGACAGATCTGGTCACCCACCGCATTTTGTGTAATAGGCTACAGAGCAGCACTCTGGAATGCAGCGAGATGGTTGTTGTGTTAGGAATAGAGTGTTTGCACGAATGTTTTTTTTCTTCTATTTTTTATTTAATTGTTTTATTTTTAAATTGTTTCTGTCTGATGAGTTTACATTTTTATTTCAGTTTGTGTCACCTTTTTGATGAAAGCAACTCCAATATCCTTAAATTTATGAGTTAATTAAGATGTTGCGGTATTTTATCTTTTTACTATGCCCATTGTGTTCCTATTAAAAATACGATAATTTCTCCCACACAGGTTTAAGTTTTGACAAAGGGCAAAAATATCTGCATTTAGATGGGTTCATACGGTATAATGTGTTCGGATTCTCTGTCTGGATTTTTTATATTTTGTTTTTGTTGGTTTTATTTTTCGTGGTGTAAATTAAAAATAACTCAATTAAAATAGGATACCTAAGTGGAAAAACAAATACATACATCAACTTATTAGCAATAACATAATTGATGAACAAACAGAAGCAATTTTAAATATATATAGAATTTAATAACAATTGCATCAGCAACATCAATACCCCAAATAACAACACTGACAGCAGAAACAACAACATCATTATGTATAATATTCATCACACAATAACATGGTAATAATGATAACAATAATAATAATGACAATATTAATTACAATACAATAATAATAAAATACTGATAATAAAATATAATTATACACACCAATTGCCACAACGTAATGGCACAGTGTGTTAAAAAAAACAGCTACCTGCTCATTTATGTCCCTAATGTGTCGGTTGTGACGTCTGTAGCTCAAAGTCCCCAAGAAATGTGCAACAATGATTGGCAATCTGCATATTTATAGAGTGTGAAAGGTCTATAAATTCGCTCAGTGCGCCTTTCATATTTTACGATGATGTGTATAAAACGTCAGTAACCCCACAAAAACCACACTGGTATGTTTGGAGCGAGAGACCATGCAAGTATTGGGCTGGGAATTGTGCTCGCGCTAGTAGCTAAACATCCGATGTAAAATTTTATGAACTCCTCCACGTGGGAGATTTACTGCTTATCCTCGTCGGTTTTACAGGGTCAGTAAGTGGCACCCAGTATTCACAGGTCGTGTTTATATTTGCGTGTGTCGGTATTTTACTGCGCATAGTGCAAGTGTTTCTCCCTGGCCTTCACTCGATTACGCGAAGACGATGTTTTGTCTTATTCTCATACATTCTTTTTAATTTGATGTCGCAGCTTCAATGTTGTATTGCTTTTGTATTTCTCGTGTTTTATGTAGCATTTCGGTTTTCATGAACTTCACAAATGGTATATGTTGACCTCCTGGAGCCCATAAAAGCTCAACTATTTTCTGGAAATTAGTGTTCAAGCTTCAGTAGAACCAGACAGGGTGAACGGCCACTCATAACAGCTTTATCCGTTTTTAAAGAGGGAGCTTTCTCTGCTTTATATACCTCATAACCCCCATGCAAAGACAACAAGCTGAACTATAAAATGTGTCTATACAGTGTAAATGTACCATGTGTCATATTCTTTATATTTGAACAAGTCCAACACTCCATTGATCAGCTTATAACAAAGCTTTTTGCGATAAACATAACATTGATCATATTTAAAGCCTCTCGGGTTGTTGGTTATGATTAGTGCAGATCCTCTCAAGGTGGATATACGTAGGGCCCACGTCTGACCGGTCGTAGGAAGATGAAGGGGTGGGGGTGGAGGAGGGTGGGGGCGCATGTGGTGGGGGTGGTTCGGTGGGAAGCTAAAAAAAAGAAAAGAAAGAAAAGAGCAGCGTCTGTGACTGTGCCGGTGGAGCAAGCCAGCTTTAACCTTAGCACATCCAAAGCACATGCCATGAGCCGGGTTTGAGCCTGCGAAACCTGGAGAAAAAAACACCACTCACGACTGCGAGAGAAATCCGATGAGAGGAACGGCTCGGAGAGAGTGAGCTGCCGTAGATTGTCCAAAGGGGCAGCGTTTCTCCTAGTTCCGGTTTGTCTGCCTGTGCGCGCTGTGCGAGTTGGGACCCTAAACAAAAGGCTGCCATCATCCTAAAGGAGATATTCTACAGCGGGAGAGCCCATCTGCTTGATGCTATCTAAACATGAGCTCCTATTTTGTTAACCCTCTTTTTTCTAAGTACAAAGGCAGCGAGTCACTGGAGCCAACTTACTACGACTGCAGGTTTCCACAAAGCGTTGCCCGCAGCCACACGCTGGTGTACGGACCCGGAGCAGCCGCACCGGGATTTCAGCACCCGTCCCATCATGTGCAGGACTTTTTCCACCACGGGACCACGGGGATCTCCAACCCCGGATACCAGCAAAACCCCTGCGCTTTGGCTTGCCACGGAGACGCTACGAAATTTTATGGATATGAAGCCCTTCCGAGGCAAACGCTTTATGGTACCCAGCAAGACGCAAGCCTAGCGCAATACCCAGACTGTAAATCGTCGAGCAGCTCTAACCCCGGAGACGGACAAGGCCACTTAAATCAAAACACCTCTCCCAGTCTTATGTTTCCTTGGATGAGACCCCACGGTCAGAATCGTACAATTATTTCCTATTCTTTATATGTTACCCTGTGTGCGCGTGTGTAAGTCTGTTTGTGCGTGTGTGTGCTTGTGTGTATATGTTTGTGTGCATGTGCATGTGTGCTAAATATGCCTGAGTATACACGAGTGTGTCTCTTAACTATAAAAACGAATTAAGTCAGGGAACATGATGGGGCAGATACAACCTGTACTGCAGGCAGCTGTTACTCTGCAGCACATGTCTATACAGGGCTGAATGTTTGCTTTCAAACGTGCCTTTAGACACCGAATTGCTGATCACAGCTCAGGACACCACCTCTTTCAAGTCAATTATCGTTGTCATAAGATATTTCACAAACTCTGAATGCACAATGCGGAGGGAGGGATATGCCATAGTTTAAAATATGACGGTGCCACACACCAGTGGCGTGCAGAGTGAAAGGAGAGTTAGCTGAAACACAACATGCCCCGATTATCCAGAATCCGGGTTTTAAAAGGGTTTGGGGGTAATTTGAACCACAGGCCTAACGTGGCTCAGACTCACAGCCATAATCATAAGGGCTTTGTAGATATAACCCCCTCCATTCATGGATCATTCTGTTCAGGATATCAGGCTACATTAACTTCACACAGGTGTAAGCTTCATTTTTTATCTTCCCACAGAGAGATGTATCAATAGTCTGTCCCCTTCTGTTGTTACAGGGCAGT